GGGGGGGTGGACGAAGCCCACTCCATGGTCTCCACGTCATATGATATAATATTGATCAATTCTACACATAATCTACACGACATTGGGGTGGTGGGGGGTCAATGCAGGCATATGCGGCATATCTATTCCATCATAGGTGGTGGACTCGCTCCGGGCGACGGGCCTTCACCGCGGCCAGGTGGTGGGGAGGTTTGATTCATCTGCATGCGCGCGCGTGAGGAAGATTGGACGCACATCTACTGCTTCCAATCATCCGAAAAAGCCGGGGGGAAGAAGGGCGAGATCAGAGGGAAAGATCTCAGGTGGGACTGGTACTGCATGAAGATTTGTGTGCCAAGAGTCTCACTGGGGTGCTGAATGGAGGTTAGGCGTGCCCATTATCCACTCACTTAGGGACTAGAAACCACCCCTTTGTGACTCCTGGTGTGAGTATTTTCCTGTGTGATCTGTGCCAGCTTGGGCACCCGACACATTGCGAAACCGAACCTGCCGGTCGGCCCTGACTGGTTGGTGTTATATACCTGACTTGTGCTGACCTGCTTGATATTTGTTTCTTGTACTGGTAGCGGGCAAGCCCAGCTACGCCCGTCTCTTTAGGCCGCGCACCCGCCCGTCGCAGCCTTTCCATCTCCCAGCGTGTGCCCAGTAGATAGCGCGGCGGCGGTTGAGAAAACGCTCTCCCGCGCCGCCGCGTCGGGCCCGCGCCAGGCCGGACCGGCTCAAAATCAGATTCTTGATGTTTATTCTATGATCCCGAACAACTCATGAACTAAGCATCTTCATCTCCAACCTAGAACCTGAGTGATCCTCTACTTAAAATTAGGATCACCCACCACCCCGGTCATGCCTGGATGCACCCGGCACGTGCCGCCCTCAGGAGGAGCCATGCTCTTCGTTCACCAGGCGCCACGCATGTGGCAGGAGCCCCGAGAGTCAAGGGACTGTGGAAGGATCCACCCGGTCGACCTACTTATGTAGGCTGTAGACTCTTGATTAATAAACCCGTCCCCATGTGAATTGAAGCACCTCTTTGCATGGGGGGGGTCAACAAATATCAAAAGTCTACATTAGACTACTATATAGACCGATTGTCGTTCAACAGTTCGTTCTAAACAATATGGTTGTTTCAAAGGCGACCTTGTGACCATGGTGGTTGGATAGAGAAACGGGCATCAATTGAGCATGCCATAGATGCCATAGCTGGATGGTCTGGGCGCAGATGGCCTGGCCTACTTCCCGCCCCAAGGTGCGGTCCCAAAGAACCGAGCACACGTGGAAGTGACGGATGAAACTCTGGAGATGTGTACCCACCTCCATTCCTGGGTCCAAAGGGGAACCAGGTAAGGTGGACCCCCTAATTACGGGGGCTTCTGTTGGTAGGCCTTAGATGTTAAGGGGTGTCCGCTAACCACCCGACAGTGGGTCCTGGAACGTTTTTTGTTTTGACTTGGTTGTTGATAATCACCATCTACAACACAATTCCTCAGCTAGCGCCGGTCCCATTTGCAGGTCAAGTAGTTTCACGCCGCAGTTTTTCAAACGCTCATCTCAAATTGAAACCTCTGAAATGTCCCTCTTTTTTTGCACCATGCAACCATCCTCAGTCCTACTTATTAGATACCGAGCTAGTGATCCCAGTGAGATACCTTTCTACCGCGTCTATTCCCTCCCAGAACCTCCATGTCCCTCCCTGCTCACCCCCCCCTTGGCAAAGGATCCGAAGAGCGGCGCGGCGACGACGCTCCGCGCGGAGCGGCCCAGCGGCAGCGCGCACCGGAAGCAGCGGAGCGGCAGCGCGGGGCACGCGCGGCGGCCCAGCAGTGCGGTCGGCGGCGAGGCGCCCCATAGGCGCGGTGGGGGGAGCTGGAGGAGCTGGTGGAGTGGATGACGAAGTGGATGAAATGGGAGGATAGTGTAACTAGGAAGTGGTCCCCAGCCCCCAGATGTAGAGGGAGCGGAATTCGTTGCTGGCATTTTGGGAGTCATTGATTTGAAGCAGAGTTTGATGCACTTGATTGTAGAGGGAGCTTGGTGAGGATGTGGAATTGGCTCAGGCCTTGGAGGATGATTTGAATTTCGGAGCGGGATGTTTGGCCAGAATATCTTAATGGGTCGAAGGGTGCTGCAAATCCCAGATCCGGTCTTCAACTCTTCAACTCAGCGCTGGGACGTTTTCTTGGACCAACATCAGCTACAGCCCTGGTGGCGATACGCCTGGTACTGACTGCCGTTTGGTCACTGTTGGTCCCTCTCCAACTTCGCTGCACTGGGACCAACAGCTGCTTCCCCTCGCTCCTACCCTGAGCGCGCTTGGGCGGGTGAACCGGAGGTGGGAGAGCACACACGTCCAGAGGGGCTGCAAAGACCTTCTGGAGAAGGTGTTTGGGGGTTTAGAATGGTTTAGAGAGTCCAGTCATATACCGAGTCACACCTTCGTTTCGGCCCCAGACCCCTCACATGTCACAGCACCCTCGCGTGGGGACCGTGACGTCCGTCGCTGGGAAGACCCTCCCCGCAGGAGACACACCTCCGAACGGCCCTCGTCGCGGCCCGGGAGCGCGTCCTCGAGCTCCGCGCGCTTCGGCGCGGGGCTGCGCGCCAGTTCCCCTCCAGGCGCGAGTTGTGACGGAGAGGGGTTGGTCGAGGAGGTTCCGAAGCAGACCCAACCTGAACAACAGTCGCGTTGGAAACGCCAGCCATGCAACTACGCAACTACTGCAAATGTATCGACTGTATCGGATGTGGTATTTTCTCCTCGAAGTGGTCAACGCATCAAACGAGTGCTGTCGTTTTCCGAGTGTTCGGGGCTTGTTCAAGTCTACTCTAATTCTAAGCATGCAGATGCAGATGCTGCATGCAGTCTCAATCGGCTGGTCCTTCTTACGAAAGATCACCAAACAGCCATGATGTTTGTTGTGTATTTTTTCCCGGTCCACCTCCTAGCCCAACTCAAACACACAACTGCAGGGGTGGGGTAGCGGCCCCATCCAAAGCAGTACGATGATGTATGCAGTATATCCTTCCAACTCGCACCTTCTCATGCCAACTCGATCCAGATCGATCCAGGCAGTGCACGGTCACAGACACCCGTTCTCGTGGCCACGAACAGTTGCTTGGATCTCCTGGGCCTAGAGATGGTGTAGATCCCAGGAACCACAGGGGCCCAGGGGTGCCGTTCGTGCCTTTCGTGCCGGAGGAGGTCGGGGTGCCGTTCGGGACGTCCACTCGACTTAGTGGATGGGATTATATTCAATGACCGCAGCCCGGAGCCCTATGACCCCTGTTCCATGGATTCACCGACCGGGAACGACGAAAGAGCTTCCGATCCCATAGGTGTCCTGTCCGAGGTATCGGATGGCTCCACGACCCAACACAAAGATTCCATGCTGGAGAGGGAGCACGCAAATGCACAGTTGGACTTTACCAAAGGCAATACCTCAAGCACAATCGTACTCATAATCGTTTCCAATGGTCTTGGACCTTGGACATCTAGGTAGCGCTTGCACACACACAGATATTCTATCAAGAGAAGTTGCAAGTCCTAGGATCCCTGCCCTCTCCGAACTCTTTGGCCAGCAAAGCTTGGTTGGAACCAAACGAAGATGTCAGTCTGAATGACCTGCATGAATCCCATGGCAGAAAAATGACATTTGCCCGCTGAGAATCCTTAGGACCCTGGGTTCGGTGGCAGAATTCTCCATGTTCCAGCAGATTGACCATTGATATCCATTCGTGGCCCATTCGTACCCTATGGGCTCCCTCGAGGTGATGGTGGGCAGATGCACTTCCGCGTCACCTCGCGCCCGCCACCCGCGTCCGCGACCTCCGCGGGCTCGCGCCCGCGCACGCCCAATGGGCGCCGCATGCCCAGCGGCGGAGCCACTCGCCGATGGTAGGGCGGACCTGTACAGTGACCTACCGGATCTTAGAAGGTCACCCATCTGAACAAAGGTCTTGTTTCAAGGGCACCATTCTGAACTGAAACAGGGTACGTACTGAGGAGGTCCTAGGTCGAAATTGTTTGAGGTGTTTCTTTGGGACAGTTGTTTGGCGATGTGAGCGGGGGATGCTCCTTATCTTTTGTGGGAGGAGGGGAAGAAAACACTCAAGAATGGGTTCTTCCACATGCTTTTGCATGGAAGATCGCTTTGGTGGCAACTCTTGTTGATCACTGTGGTTGCTTCGACGGTACATCACAGTTCTTATTTAGAAGTGGTCCACCAAGTTGCTGCATGGATGAAGATGAGTCACCACACCCTACACTCGTTTGGGTGCTGTTGACTCCGCGGTGGTCGCGGTTTTCGGAGCTTCGTCCAAGATGTGGATGGCCACCCACGGCGTTGCCTCTTTTTTAAAGCTCCTGAAGCAACGGACAGAGGATGCAACTTTGTGATTCTGTGAAACGATTCAGCTGCCAGCTATCCCCAACACCCCATGGCAATTCCATTCCATCTGTTGCATGGAGCGCTTTGGATGAGAATTGGATCATCTCTATTACAGTGGATTGAGAGTCGATGGCACAATCCCCAAGTTTGGTGGTTACCAGGACCGCCAGGACCGCCATGTCCATTCACACCCCTGGAAATCGCAGCCTATGGGGCGAAATCTATCGACACCCGCACGGTGTCGGGGTGGTATGGATCCCCATCTAAACCAACAGAGGTTGAAGGACCCGAACTAGACTATCCCAGTTTGGTACCCCAGTAGGGTCCTAGTTCAGGTCACTTAACCTCTTGGAAAGACCGGAGGGGTGCCAGGTCTCCATGTCTCACCGAAAGCCGCTTCGGACGGGTCGGTGCTTCGTTCCGGCGCGTGACGACGAAGAGACTGTTCAGGAAGGTTCAGGAGCCTGGGCAGCGTTCGAACAGCAGTGATATGGGGAAATTCCCTTGGAAGGCTTCCCTCTGAGCTCTTATAGGGTGCACCAATTCCCTCTTGTTAGCTCCGAAATTGCACCAATCCTGCAGTTCAACGCAGCAGTGCAGCTGTGCAGTTCAACGCCCACGACTTGGGATTTGGGCCAGGAGTCCGCTCCTTGTGCCACTGGTGAATGCTTTTATGACTTGCCAGCTTCTCCCAAACACTTCGAATTCTGGACCAGCGTTGACTCATTGACTCATCATTGCCTGGCTTGCTTCAACCAGCCAAAAACCCCTCTACAGCCACAGAGACTCACCGCAGAACGGCTGATACCATCGTTCTGTCAGGAGGCATTTCTTCTACTTTTGTTTGGGAGGGCTGAATGATTGAACGAACTCAAGACAGCAACTTTTGGGCCAAGAGAGTTGAGGGTAAAGCTAAAGGATTGTCCTCTCAACCCAATGGTTTTCAGGTTCCATGTGGGTCTCTGATTCCAGGGCGTGCCATCTCTGTCTTGATGCTCGAGCTCTCAACTCGCGTTTTCCGATGTTTTTCACCAACCGTTTTTCACCCGGCGATAAAAACAGACACCTCGTTTGGAATGTACTGGTTTTTCAGCAAGGTGTGTTAAAAAAGAAGCCTCTTAGAGGTGATTATGATTCGGGGTGTCCCAAAACCACCTCTTGGAAGGTCCTGGTAGGAGTCATTTTGGACTTGAACAGGAGATTTCCCTTCAAAGTAAGGTCTCGAATTCTCCATGTGATAACACATGATCCCAACTCAAAATGTGTAGAAACACCGTGCCACTATCTATTTGAGGGGACCGCTACCAAGCGTACCAAGTAGGAGTTCGTTCTTTGTGGCACTTGAAGGGACCCAGCCCCGCCCGCTCCGCCAGCCTCCCACTCCCCAGGGCGCCAGCTCCGCCGCGCGCCTCGACTCGGAGGGCGGTTCTGCGGCGGGCGCCGCGGACGCGCGGGCGGGCAGCGCCGCCAGCGCCAACGGAACGGCCAAGGGTGGCGTGGACGAAGTGAAGGGACAGGTCGGGGGTGGCAGGTAGACACCCCCAAGCAACTTGTAATTGGTCTAGATGGGGCATCCACCGAGTAAAAGACATATGAAGGGGGTTGCGAGTGCCATCTGCTGTGAAACCACTGTAAGGGGGGTTGGATGGGCCGGTGAAGTGGCTCCTTTTATATGAGAGACATGCTTTCTCTTCCAGATGTGCTGAAGCCCATGGCCCTGGGAATGCCTGCGACGAAGCAGCATGTGGGTTTTTGCATGGGTTCGCGGGTTCAGAATCATGTGGAGTGGATGGCGTGGCCTCTTGGATGACCATTTTCGGTGTGAGTGGCGAAGGGAGTGCACTTGTTTTTGTTGGTGACTTCGAGTGTGAGTAGCATGCCAGTGGTGCTGGTAGCTGCCGGTAGCTGCTTCATTCGGCTTCGAATTCTTGGGGTGCCTCCCAATGAAGGCATTCAAGTGCCCGGAAGCTTCCTCTGAATATTGCACGGCAAGAAAGAGGATACAAGTGCTCGAACAGTGGACTCCTGTCACCATGGCATGCCCACTATACAGACGTATATCTGAAATCGATGGTACATGCGTGGACCTCTTTGGGGACCACGACCTTGGTGTTGTCTCACCACCCTGGCCTCGTCTGCCGCCGTCAACGCCTATGGATAGGTAGCTTGACGACGGTGATCTCCTCGGCTCTGGACTACAAGCGTTTCCTGGATCGACGAAAGCAGATGATTCAACAACAAGTTGAATCAGCGTCGCTCGTGCGCAGAGGGCAGCGCGGACTTGGGACGCGGAGCTGGAGAGAGGAAAGCTTGAGAGATGGGGCGGAGAGCGCCGACGTTAGGGGGACGTTGGGGAAATCTAGGTTTGGGGTAGCTGAAGAAGGTTTGTTGTTGGGAGTCCTCGTAGATCAATCCATATCATTCCATATCAACCCCATTGATGATCCACATGCTTTGGAGAACACATGGTGAATCGGACGAGATCTCATCGACTTTTGACTTTCGCCCACGCGAATCATGCACTCTTCGAGTGTTTTGATGCTTAGGACTGCGATGGCAGTTTCACACTGCCTGCGAGTCAACATTCATCCATGTATATATGGAAAAGGTACATACGTTGACCCCACTCATGACCCTAATGTGGGTAACTATTCCACAAATGGATGGTCTTGGCTATTGAGTTCATGGACTCATGGGCGGCCCCTTTGGCTTCTCAAGTCGACCTCGCCCAGCTACAGCCAGACAGGATGCTCCAGGGAGGCTCCGAAGGAACGTTCCGTGCCTTACCTGGAGCCCCTGGAGTAGGTGGTCAAAGAAGTGGCCCAAATGAACTCAAGTCTTCGACATATATGACTCGAGTCTTTTGTTCGCCGAGATGGGGATAGGGGCCCCTATCCTCCCCCC